CCACCCTGTTTACGAGGTGCCTCCTGACGGGAAGAGTGCCAGAGTCTTGGAAGAATGCTAACATCATCTGAATACATAAGAAAGGAGATGACAAGGACTTGAAGAATTACAGGCCGATCAGCTTGCTCTCTGTAATATACAAGCTATTTACAAAGGTAATTGCTAACACAGTTAAGAAAACATTAGAAATAAATCAACCAAAGGAACAAGCAGGATTTCGAACAGGCTACTCAACAATCGACCACATTCATACTATCAATCAGGTAATATAAAGAAATGCTCAGAATATAGCCAACGAATATACATAGCCTTCATAGATTACGAGAACGCGTTTGATTCAGTAGAAATATCAGCAGTCATGCAGACACTGCGGAATCAGGGCGTCGATGAAGTATATATAAGCATCCTAGAAGAAATCTACAGGGGATTAACTGCTACCGTATTGCTTCCTAAAGCAAGCAACAGTATACCAATCAAGAAGGGTGTAAGGCAGGGAGATACAATCTCCCCAATGCTATTTACCGCGTGCTTACAGGAGGTTTTCGGAGGCCTAGAATGGGAACAGTTAGGGAAAATAGTTAATGGAGAGTACCTTAGTAACCTGCGCTTCGCCGATGACATTGCATTGCTGAGTAACTGAGGGGACGAATTGCAACTCATGATTACGGAGTTAGACAAGGCAAGCAGGAAGGTGGATCTTAAAATTATTATGCAGAAAACGAAAGTAATGTACAACTACCTCGGAAGAGAGCAGCGCTTCGAGATCTGTAATAGTGCACTTCAAGTTGTAAAATACTGTGTCTATTTAGGGCAGGTAATAATGGCGGAGCCGAACCACGGGATTGAAGTAATTAGAAGAATAAGTATGGGGTGGAGTACATTTGGCAAGCACTCTCAAGTCATGATAGGTAGATTGCCACTATCCCCCAAGAGGAATGTATATAACAGCTGCATCTTGCCGGTACTTAGCTATGGAGCAGAAACCTGGAGACTTACAAAGAGGGTTCAGCTTAAATTGAAGACGACGCAGCGAGCGATGGAAACGTAAATGATATATGTGTAACCTTAAGAGACAAGAAGAGAGCAGAGTGGATTAGGAAACAAACAGTGGTTAAGAATATCATAGTTGAAATCAAAAAGAGGAAATGGACATGGGCCGGGCTTGTAGCGCTAGACAGGATAACCGCTGGTCGTTAAGGGTAACTAACTGGATTCCCAGAGAAGGCAAGCGGGTTAGGGGGAGACAGAAGGTTAGGTGGGCAGATGACACTAAGAAGTTTGCGGGTATAAATTGGCAGCAGCAAGCACATGACCGAGTTGACTGGTGGAATATGGGAGATGCCTTTGTCCTGGAGTGGACGTAGTCAGGCTGATGATGATGATGATGATGATGATGATGATGATGATGATGATGATGATGACTCGCCTAAATGTGTTTATTCCTTTTATTCCTCTGACCGGGACGTGCTGCCCATATCGCAGAAGTACGCGTAAGAGTGCTTACATGTGGGGGCAGAGCTTGTGGGTGGGGGCAGCGGCGTAGGGTCGGCAAAACTTGGGGAGCTCACTCAGACTTACCCGTGAAATACTTTTTGTGCTTAGGGCTAGCTTGGACTCAGTCTCACTAAAGTTTCCTTCAACCAACCTCACTCTGACTTACACTTACAAAAAATTTTCGTTACCCTACTCACTGGAACTCAAACTCACCAAAAACAATTGCTCATCGGACTAACTCGAACCAGACTTACGGCTTGATCTGAGCTTGAGTGAATTCGAGTGAGTCGACTCATCAGTGAGTTCACCGACCTAAGGCAGCGGCTAACTCAACGTTCAACATTTTTTAGCTCAATCGGTAGTGCTTTCGAACATAACGGATTATCGTATTTGACTACAATAAACACGAAGTATAAACTGGGACATTAGTTAATTACGCATTTAAATGTTTCATCGTTTGTGATGGTGAAACTGTTACGCGTTGGCCCAGTCAGTGACCTTTTCTCTCCTCCTATATAACTTTCCTTCCCCCTCTCCCCTTTCACAGTGCAGGGTAGTCTACCGGAGCTCAGTTCTAGTCAACCTGCCTGCCTTTCTCCTTGTGTCCTCTCTCTCTGTCTAAATGCACTTTTTCGGCAATGTGCCTGAAGCAAAGCGCAGAAAACGCCTACGTCACTACCACGTCACGAGAAAGTTTCCCGGACCTCTCGTGAAAATCTGCATACGCGGTCAACAACAGGAAACGATAAACTTCAACAATCACTTCGCCACCCCCCCTTTTTTTTTAAATATTTGTGCGGCCATGTGGCACAAGAGTTGGGCGTAGGCGCCACCCTTTCGTTCTGCAAATATATGGTCAAACCGATAGGCCGCTTTATCTGGCTGCTCGATCTTCATGACGTCGGCGCACAGCGGCCAAGTAGTAGTAGTGAGGGCGTATACCTACGCGCCCCGGCAGATCTTGGAATGAACCGAAACGAAAGGACAATCAACTAAATAAACACTTGTTCCAGAGGGAGAGAAAGAGAGAAAGCTGCCGGCGCACTACACCGGCAGTCGTCTCTGGCCCGCGTCCCACAAAGGCGTCGTTCACGGCAAGGTCGCGAAGCCTTTAAAAGGGAATCAGTGTGGCCGTAGTGTACGAGAGCAACCACGCTTCCGCGCTACCGAGAACCGACGCGTCGGCCGTGGGACGTCCCACGTGCGGCCTCGTTTGCGCGCATTGGAATGGTTCGCCGCTTGTCTCGTTGCCGACCGGCTCGCAATGCGTTCGCACCGCAAGGATGATTCGGGCAATGCTGGTCTCTGAGCTGGTTGGTTTGGTAGCATCGTAAAGAAAAAAAAAAGACTATTCGTATCATGTTGGTCGCCACACCCGGCTTCTCCTACATACTTTATTTTATGGATACGTTTTGGGTAAGCCAGATAGGGCTATCTACTTTGCCCTTTGATATGTTGATTGATGATTGATTGATATGTGGGATTTAACCTTTCAAAACCACCATATGATTACGAGAGAAGCCGTAGTGAAGGGCTCCGGAAATTTTGACCACCTGGGGTTCTTTAAAAACGTGCGCCCAAATCTGAGCACACGGGCCTACAGCATTTTTTGCCTCCAGCATGTTCGCCTCAGCCGCCGCAGCCAGGATAAGATCCCGCGACCTGCGAGTCAGCAGTCGAGTACCTTAGCCACTAGACCACCGCGGCAGGGCAATCTTTGGTATCCTAAACTGAATGATAAGGTAGATGCAAGCTCACGAACATGGTTGAGTTGGTGCAATCGATGTTTCATGATTTGGTTAACTTAACGCCAGGACGTACAAAAATAAGGAAATATTTGTTGAGCAGCCCCATGTATCGGCTTTGATGTGTAGAAAATAAAATAGTCCCTGTAAGGCAGCACTACAGCTAAAAAATAAAATGTGTTAAAGCAGGCAACAATTATTCTCCGGCGGGTGCTTTAGAGCGACAATTCAAACAACTCTGGCTTGCTGAATGAAACAGATTGTGCTTCAATGTAGCGATCTGCCAGTAGTTGCAGTCAGCTGGCACTAACCGGAGTTTAGCAGTAGTAGCCAATATTGTCTAGTCATTAATCTGTTTTAAGCCAAAGTCAGGCAACATTATTCGAGTGCCAACCAATGCTGATAATATGCAATGAATGCAATCTGCCGGACAGCATTCGGCTGGCAACGGCGGGGGCTGCTTCGCTCATATCCTGGAACCTGCGGCAGCGTTTTCGGAAGATAACTTCTGTTTGCCAAGCAGGAAGCGAACATTTCATGAAGTGAGGCCAAATCATCAGTGGCGTAGCCCGGGGGCGGCACTACGGGTCAATACCCCCCCCCCTTCTCTCCGTTAAGTTTGTTTTTCGCCAAGGCACACAGAGCCAGAAAGAACCATATCAAGGAGATGCCCCCTCCCTGAATTCAAGGAGGTGACCCACCCTTTCCTCGTAAACATTTCTGCATATGCTCTGAAAACGATCATTAGTACACACCGGTATTAGAGTAGGTTGTTTTAAGCGCATTAGGCTAAAATGAAAGCTATCAGTATGAAGAACTAACCGAAGGGTTAGACGACATTAACCAGTCCTGGTGTCAAGCGAGCACATGCGTCATTGACTTCGCATATTCCGCATTTTTAAAGCAAATCGTGTACATTTTAACCTGACAAAAGTTTTGTATGACAGTTCGTATTTCAAGTTATTAGTAGACAGTGTTGCCCGATTTCGGCCCGAAAAGTATATTTTTATGCCGAGACAGGAAAAATGACGTGATTAAATTGTAGATTACTCAATGAAATGTATCGCATTAAAAGTGCTCCTGAAGTGATGTGTGACAACTACCATAACGCGTGGACTTTCTAGCTTTATTTTGCATAATGGTAATTTATCTGCTGTGAGTTGCAAATAATGTGACTAAACTATAATGTTTATTCAAGGTTTTCTGTTCTTGTAAACTTTGGCTAGTATAATACAACATAGGACAGTGGCAACAGATGCCACTTCAACAGATCCCATCTCGTCATTAACACTAGGGCCGAACGTTTCATCTTCCACTGTTGGCCATCTGTAAGGAGCGTTTGGGCGCTAATTTTTTTTTTTTGACCTATCGATACCTTTTATGTTTTTCTGGGATAGCAAGTTTTAGTTATTGTGTAACGTTCAAAAATTTATGATGGCCCACTTTAAAAAAGAAAAAGAAGAAAATGACAATGTCACGCAAGTGTGAAGAAATGAGTACAATGGGAACGAATGCGAAAGCGCACATAGGAAAATTTTTCTCATCTTCTATTTTTCTTTCTCGCTTTATAGATATATACATATTTGTGCATAAATGAAATGGTACGGCGACGCCTACGCCGACGGCAAAGACCTACAGAAGGTGTCCACTTCATTGACATCGCAATAAAAAGAATGAAAGAAGAAACACTTTACGCGATCTTGCGCGAGAAGTGTCGCACTGTAGTATGGTGCCATATCATTGCTTACATTTCCCCCGCAGGACCGTGGATCGCCAGCGCAGCCCGAGCCGGCAGGGCGGCACTCGGCCCAGCGGCGTCATGCCGAGCGCCGCCGTCCACCGGGCCGATTCGACCCGGTCGGACAACTCGGACGCCTCCGGACGCAGTGCCGAGTCCCGCGGTTCGGCCGGCAAGAAGGTCAGCTTCAGCCGAGCCGTCAGGGTCAAGAAGTTTCCGCGCCGACACGAAGGCAGCTCCAACTCCGTCGCGCACGCCGGAAACGGAGATGTCGTCGATTCTGCACAGGTGAGCCTATCGCTTTTTTCAAAGCCAAAGTCGTGGTATTTACGAACTTCGGTGTAGTAAGCGCTTGCCACGAAATTAACTGCGTATGTACTAACTGCAGGTAGATACTGCCAGGTTACTAGCTGCACTACACCTACCACGTATAGGTGCTACCTAAAGGAAAGGAGTAACACAAAGTTGGTATTTTTCGCACCATGATGCTTGCTAATGAAAATTGATATCTACAGGAAATGAGTGACACGAATTTTACAGGTAAATTACTACCATAGCAAGCTCAAATAAAACATTAAAACCGTATCATATTTGCTTATGTGATAGCCGTAGTAAACAGTTCATTTAATTGACGTTTGTTGAAGTGTTATTTCATTGCATTTAGCCGAATTGGTGTAAATTAGTTTGTCATATCGCCTGATAAGTTGTCGGTTGGCTACCTTTTCTTCCGTTTTTTTTTCTATGTGGTGGGTAATCCATGCCCTCATGTCTGCACAGGTGCCCCCTTCGCCAGAGAAGAAGTTCTGGTTCAAGGTGTACAAAAACCGGCACCACCACGACAAAACCGCCAGCGGCAGCCGCATCGCCGAAGAAGATCCCGTACCGCTGGAGACCACGGTGTCGGACTCCTCCGGGCACCATCACCACCACCACGCGCGAGGTCCGTCGTCCGTCGCCCGAAGCGCGTCCTCGGCATCGGCGTCTCGGTCGCCGCGACGAAGACCGGACTCGCCCGTGGTGAAGAGGAACCACGTCCGGCGGATCGTGCAGAAGTTCGACCGTGAGGCGACGCTGCGGCACGACCCGCCGGCGAGTAGCTCCAGGGAGTCGTCCCCACCGCCGATACCTCCTCCCCCGTCCGTGGTTCGCAGCTACTCGGTCGAGGAGTACACGAGGCCCGGGACGCCCATCGAGCTCCAGAGGAGTCCAGCGCCCAAGCGCAGCAACCGGCTGGTCGACGGCGTCAAGGTCATCTTGGCTCCCCTCACTCGGAAGAAGTCGTCGGCCTCGAAGAAGGAGGTCCGCAGCGCGGGCACCGGCACACTCGTCAGGGAGGAAGACTTTGAGGAAGTCAACAACAACGAGAACAAGGAGAACGAGCCGGTCGAAGAAGAGGAAGAGATGCCCGTCATGGTAGACAAGGCGACACAGGTGAGCTCTTTCAGAGCCCCGCAGGCAGCGTTAATTTGAAAGGCCTTTGTCCAATAATTAATTTTTTTATTTTTAATAAATTTTGATTAGCCAGCTAATCAGTGAAGCAAGCAATCATTAATCAAATCTTTATTCACAGTCAAATATATGCGAACAGGCAAAATTCATATACATTTGCACAAGATCCTTAGCTGATGACTCTAAGACCTGCTCTTGAAAGATTACTTGTATTCTACCTAGAAGACATGTAATAACCTGAAATGGACTATTATTATCCCTATAAGAAGGTGTTCCACCCTTTCAGACATGCCTTCTAGTGTAGGATGGCAAACTGGGAAATGGTTTTGGTATACCTCGGTCATTGTTTTTTTTTTGTTTTTAAGATATTTATATCTCTACATACGCCAGTGAAATGCACATGAATAATTATTAGCATGTAGTTGGCGTTCCATCATATGCTTGTTCCCTTTGCCAGACAGGCTTTAATGGAATACGTTTTAATCGTAAACAGCAAGGGCTGTTAACGCGGAAAACTAACGATAATAAATCAGTGCCTTAATAGCTTGGTTCACTGTACAATAGGAGCGCTTTCATGGTCAACATTTTCTCTAAGCATGACACATTGTGATGTGCGCCCGAATTTCATCGGTCGAGGGTGGAGGCCCAATCTGTGCTCCACGTTATCGCCTTCGGAGCAGCTTGACATCACCTTCATTCGTGCGTCATTTTCATCAGTGCACCTGGGTGGGTACATTACCACACATACGCTGGACATTTCAAAACGATGACGATACTTTGTGAAATTCTGTGGCGCTAGAACCATGAGTGGCCAAGGTGTGACGTCTTTCACCATATCATGTTAATGTTCAATGAACCATTGACACTTCATGCCATGGAGAAATGAAGTGTGAAAATCCGTTAGAATAGCAACAAAAATTGCAATCAATCGAATAGCACCACCGCCATGTACAACGATCGGCGGTCCCTTTCTCTCCCCCAGGTCAAACCCTTCGACTTGGAAGAGTTCTTCGCGACCAGTGGCGACGTTTCACACCTCTACAGCCAGGTAGACAAGAGCAAGAAGACAACCACGTTCAAGACTCCCGAGATACACGTGCACCACCCCGAAGTAGTGGTGGACTACCCGATTACGTCCAACCCTCGCTACGTTGACGACCGCGACTACGAGTACTACGATCGAAGCCGAGCCTCGTCTTCGTCACCGACGCTGAGACGAGGCGGCGACGTTTCCACGACCCCGGAGCCCGAGTACGGAAGCATCCGGCGGGTGAAGTCGTCAAGCCGCAGCTTCGGCTTCAACCTGGGGCGCTGGGAGCACGACGACAAGCGTCGTGACTCGGACACCTCTAGCATCAACAGCGAGCCTGGTATACTGGGTCGCGACGCCGGAAGCAGGCCCGGCAGCGTGCTCAAGGCGTACGACTCCAAGAAGCGTGAGCTGAGCTACGAGAACGTGCCGGCCAGGGTCTCGGAGACCGAGAGGTCTAGGACGGGCTCTCCGACCACGTCGACGTCAGGGGTGTGGGTTCGAGACATAGAGAAAGACTACCGTCGAGGGATGGCCGACGCGGACGTGACAGTGCCCAGCAGCGGGTACGTGTTCACGTACACTGCGTCAATGGGAGGAGACCGGTCATCCAAGAAGAAGACGACCAAGTCGAGCTCTCGAGACGCGTCGCCCACCTTGCTTGACAACGGCAGCCTGTCCAGGACTCACCGGAGGTCTCCGTCGCGCGGGCCGCGCTCCGTCAGTTCTGATCAGACTTCGGTGCGAGGTGGCCTGGCTGCTGCCTATCAGGCAAGTGGGCATTTTATGCGAACGTACGAATTTCATGAGTCTTTGAGAAAACATAGACACGCATAACACGTTACACGATGTATATATACTTCTAGCTGTGAACTCTCAGCTAGCGTGCGTAGGGTCATGTATTAAGAAACCGGACCAAAAGCACCTGCCTGCAATGCTCCGCCAACTGTGTCGACAGATAAGCAACTTCTGTCATGACTGTGTCTCATTTTGATCAGCCGTACTTTGAAAAAAAATGAAGGAAGCCCAGGGAACAAAGTGAAAACCAGATGAGTGATCCCCACGCCAGCTTTAGATGCTATGTATGCGAACTGTGGATACCCTTTTCACAGTTGGCATATCTTTGGAATTCTAAATAAGGTAAGAAACCAAGATATCCCGTCGAACTGATTTTTCGAATGACCGCACTTCAAAAGATTGCTTCATCAAAGTCGAGAGTCGAGACTTGAGCCACCTGGTACATGAATGAAGACGGGAACAAGTAAAGAAAACAACAGACACAGAGGAAGAAGGCGACTAGACAGAGCCTATCTAAGAACTCTCATTGCTCCTGTTCTGTCACTGTCTTTTCCTGTGTATATTGTTTCCTTTGCTAGTTCTGATGTTCACGGCTTTTCCACGCGCCCAGCAAACTCTGACCGATGTATCCCACGCATACTCGCAGGCAAGGCAGGCAAGAGCCGCCGCGTCTTCGTCCAACGGTCGGGTGTCTAAGTCGTCCTCGCCCCGTTCTCCGCGGATCCAGGCGAGCCCCAGTCGGTCCTCAGCCGTCGCCTCCGGGTCCGTGCCCGGTTCGGCCCAGGGCTCGGTGGCCGGCTCGGTGATCAGTGAGCCGGCCTACCAGCGGGACACGGTGGTGCTTTACATTCCGGGTGTGAGTCACCACGCGACGCCGTCCGAGGCATCGCTGCGCGTCTCCCGCAGCCAGTCCGTCTTGAACAAGGAGAGCAAGGCCTCCACTTCGCGCAGCGCCTCCAAGAGTAGCCACAAGTCCAAGTCGCCCCCGAGCCGCCAGCCGAAGAGGGCCGCCTCTGAAAGCGACATACGCAGGACCAAGTCTATACCGAAGGGTGCCAAGTTTCCATGGCTCAGAATCAAGCCGACCGTGACGGCGACGCCTGTGCACTAGCGACGATGAGACTGTCATGCTGCTGCTGAGGCTATAGTTTTGCGTTTCGAAGTGCACTGATGTGTCGGCGCCTTCTTAAAACGGCGATGGCAGTTGACGAGGTCCAGTGAACTGTGGTAGACTAGGTGAAAACTGCGTGAGCAAAGAGAGTGCTGGATTTTTTTTTACCAAAGTAACTGATAACTCCGTATTGAACTCCACTTTGCAGGGGGTGTTTTGCGTCACATTGAAGCAATTTTGCTGTGCTAACATAGCGTACTGGATAGAAATGACTATTCTATTGAAGTTGACGTTTTAAAGTTAACTCTGTGTCTCTATGGTGTTGTAATCTACTCGAGAATACGAGAACTACAACAAACAAAAAAAAGACGGAGTAAATAGGGAACGAGCATCATACATCCGTAAAAATAGGAGTTGCCAGTATTCCCTTTATTTTTAAAGTATAGCGACGCCCGTGTCATCTGAGCCGGCTTCTATCTCATACTATTTGGTCAGTCAGGACTGCATTGGCAGGCAGCACAGTTTTGTGTGAATGTCCTATTGGCGCAAGGTAGGCTGACAACTATAATGGCCAGCTTCTGAGGAGGATAAGGATGTAGTTCTGTGTGCGCGTGCTCTGGTGTTAGTTTTCTGACCTTTTGTGCCGAAAGTTAACGCCCTATTTTCTGCCCGCGTCCTTGTGTCTTTGTGGCATTTTCTGGCGGAGGGACTTGGTACGGTAGATGATACGATCCCGAGAGAGCACCCCAGAGGCAAGCCCGTCGAGTAGCTCAGCCGAGCTTACCCCTGTGCACGTACGTTCCAGTCGTCGTCTCCAGGGGCTCGAGCCACAGCACGGTTTGCTGCCTGAACGGCAGAGAACTATGACCCAAACAGCCCCCAATGTCACCGCGCTAGCACCTGCACACCTAGTTGTCAGCCTACCTTGCGACAAGCTCTATCAAGTAGGTGTCGATATGCAGATTGATGAAATATTTAGGACGAAATGGCAGTCAGCCAAACAGCTGCTCTACGAAACTCTGCAGATGCATCAACTTTTGACTCGGATGTTGCGATCCCTAACATGTGGTCAGCCCACGGGGATGCGCTTCCGAGTTACCGCAATGCCAAAGAGACAACGCAAAATATGCCCGATCACTTCATTGAAGCTGGTGGAAGCATTGAGTCACGTCATAAAAGAGTCCTGCGAGTACTCAAGACACATCGCGTACCCAGTGACGCCGGAATTACTTCAGTGGTTAATGTTCATTTTTTTTTAATTACTCGATGTGAGCAGCTCTCTGGACCTTCGTCAACGCCATCCCGTTTCTGGCTTGATAACCCGCAGCAATGTCATCACAGCTGTGTCGGAGTAGATGGGCCCCTAGGATTCCTCGTTACAAGAACATTGTCGATTAATTATCTTTAGTGCGATGGCTTAATTTGGGGCCCGACCCACGTGAAGTCTTCGTGTGAAGAAGGGAAAAGAAAATCGACTCTAAATATGTAAGTGAACATCTATGTGGGATTAAATGTATCAAGTGGCAAGCCCAAGGGTAGGCCTTCATGTAGCAAAGGCGCCTCTGAGACAAAAAAAAAAAAGAGATACTAATGTCAGTAGAGGCGAATAGATGTGTGATAGTTGGGGGTAACTGTGAAAACCGGTATACTTCGTTAACCGTCAGTAATGACAAGCTAACTCCAGTAGACTAATTGATTAAAATGTATCCGTGTTGTTCGGCCGGACTACGCCACGCGCTCGACATCCGGGGCAGCCTTACGTTTCACCCTAGCCGTGATGACATTGACAGCGCTGCAGAAACAAGATGAACTTGATATTTTCGAAATATTTTTTCAGATCATCTTAGAAGTTTGTTTTTTTCCGCGTTACTCGGCTCAGGCCAGCTTTAGAAAAGTACGAGTTGTGGCATCTCGGTGTTTTGTCGCGGCATCTAACGAGTTGGTGTTTCGTCGAAGATGTCCTCTATATACTTAATGTGGGCGCGTTTACAGTTGTGGTGTAATAGCATAGCTTCGAGCATGTATATTAACCGATAAAGAGGTCTGTTAACCAAGTTTTTACTGTACTCAGGTGCAGTAAAGAACTCAAATAGATAGAGAGAGAGAGAGAGAAAAAGAAGTTTCCTTTGACTATTTTCGTGGATTCTACCTAGCCATGTATGACTCCCTTTAAACAGATACGTAAATGCTCTTTGGCGATCAATATACTCTCTTAGGAAATTCGAAATTCGTGGGTCCCTAAAAAGAGTTCACATGTCTATATAAAGGGAATCGTGTTCGTGCAAGTGGCTTGTCACCAAAAGAGTCACACATTCTCTTTTATTCTTCTGAGAGAGAAGGAGAGAAAGGAAAAGCGCGAACTCAATGTGTCCTTGTTGTTCATATAACCCTGTTACGCGAAACCCTCGCAATTTGTTTTCTTTTTTTTTTCTTCTCGTTGGCTAAAGCTCATAGCGTCAAATGAATGGCAGTAAATATTAAGTAAGAGATATATCTACATTTAGTACAACGTTAACGAAGTCAGTAATACTTTCTCTTACTTTGAGGGCTCCTCAGTGCTGACGTGACTAGATTTACATATATTTTTTCCCCCTCTGAGCGAGCCGTTTCGCCAATATTCGCTTCGTCGAACTCTCTCTGTGTCGAATGCTGAAGCAGCAAAGCATTGCGTGCAGCGAAATCATGATCCCCACGCGTGTTACCAGATCCACAACAACTACACACCTCACGCCCATTCCATTTACTGATCATTGAGACCAATGCCTTAACGCTTGACGTTAAAGCCGAAGAGCATCTATAAGCATTGAGTCGAGTGTTCGAGATCATTCGCTTTCGGGCGGTGCTTCGGTTGCCGACTTGACTTCTTGCGTCGACTGAGGCGTGGACCAGGTAGCCTTCGTTTTAGATCCACTACCGTCTCGAATGTCGTATTACAGACCTTTTCGTTTTCGTAAAAGAACTCACATTTTTGTTTCGCACATTTAGCGATGACGTCACAATGACTACCAGGAACGCCGTTGGGCTAAGAAGCTGGCAGCGGGTGCTATTTTGGACATTTTCGAATTCCGCCATTGGTAAACTTTGACTGGCCCAGAGAGCTACTACGGGCTTCCTGATTGGCTTGAAAGGCCACCGTTGCCGTATCTGACCAAACAGGGGAAATCGACAGTGTCAAAAATAGAAGCCCTGTCATTCGAGTTGTGGTTGATTTTTTTTTCCTTTTAACATATTGAATTGATGGCTTGCCGACACCTATAACCGGCTGGAACGGCTAAATTAGTGTCGGATTTTTGCGTGATTTCTTACGCTGATTGCTTAGCGAGAAAGCCTCTTGATTTCGCCGAATCGTGTGCTGTGAACACTTGTGCTGTAAACTATAATGCGCATTTTACCGAGGATGACTGTGTACTACCTCCAGCGCTTAGCGTGTGAACGTGCTGTGTTTACTAATTAACGAAGTGCGCCGCTTATAGTCCCGTGTGTACAATTGTCAAAAGCGCATGTATCGATATATGAATTGCGCCTCGCATACCGCCAGCTTCACTTGTTGGCTCCAGTTTGTAACACGTTGTGATCTTTTGTCTACATGCAGAGGTTGATTATGGGTACAACTGTTCTTTGAGGGGCACTGCAGACGTGTCACGCGTCTGATATTTTCGAGAAAGAGTGTGAAGTGTGTAATGCCGCTAGCGAATCTCGTAGCAACGACTTCTGCAGCAGGTCAATAAGCGTTCGTGACACTTGGCCTGAGGTCTTTAAGAAAGAGAGCAGCACGAAACACCATCTTTATGCTTGGAGAGAGAAGGCTTCGTCGCTGTGTCGAATGGTTCAACACTGACTGATGGTAAGCTGTGGTTCCCGCGGCTTCTTTCCTGGAAGCAAGGGCCGTCAAACGGCCTTTGCGCCACAGAACATCACACATCATCAATCAATAGAGAGAGAGAGAGATAAAGGAAATACAGGGAGGTTTACCATCATCAATCAAGACTTAAGAACCGCCAGTAAGATATGTCAGGCTTCGTAAAGCTTGGAAAAGGAGTACTGAATTCCCGCGATAGGCCAAATTATTCAAGTTCGTGAAAGTCCATGTGTCTTAACCATTCACCTGGATCGCACGTGTGCAGTCGTCAGCAAGTTTGACACGAACTCTCCGACGCGTGACCTTGGCTAGTTTGACGGATGCCAGCAGCGAAGCGCTGGGTGCTGTTGCCGAGATTATACTTTGATAAACTTTGATGATATTTCGGCATGTATGAGCAACATCTCGGCAACAGACACCAAAGCTACGAGGCGCTAGCGTCATCAGTGAAACTGTTTCAGAACATGCTGCCGAGCGTTCGTTAAGCTTGCTGACGATTGTGCACTAGCAGCTGCAGCCTTCTCGACTTCGGAATCTATTAGACGGCCTCAAAAAAGGATGGTGAGCTGTCGACCGATCGTCGAGTGCAGGGTTTTCTTTGAGCACGCACGCAGACGTGTATACTACCCAATATGTGAGTTTGATAGTTGTAGGTTTTTCACAAAAGCGGTCATTACGAACGTATAGTTGCAGACAAAAAAAAAAAACAGCTGAACATACAGTCTGCGGTTAGCGTGGGCGAGAGAAAAAAAGCACTCGACATTCAGAATCTCGTACGCATGACAGAATACTAGCTGAGGCGTTTATAAGGTAAAGAGTCGGGCACACTGACACCTTATAAGCTGCAGCATGTCAATGTCGGCGCTATCGACGAGGCACATCCAAAGGCAGCCCACGCTGGGAATGTTCGCACCGAACACATTATCTCCGACGAGAGTAGTATCTTTCTCAAAACCTCTTCTGGCTATTAGCATTACCAAATGTGTAAAGGGCAAGCGTGTTGTTCGTGCTAGACGAAGAATTTGCAAAGTGAAGCGACACCTGGTGGACGCTGGTGAACGCTGGCTGTTGAGTTACGGCGTTCACTGTCTCTGTAATTGTGTCCCTGATGAATCAGCCAATATTTCTAAAAGACAGGGTGGCGGGGAAAGACTTTATTGTGAAGAGAGCGCATGGGCCCTCAAAAGGGCCCTACAGACTAAACGACGCCCTCAGTCCGGGACGTCATTGCACGACACTGCTGCTTTTGCTGTCGCAATGAGGAAGTGCCGAGGCTGGATCAGCTAACCAGCGTCAACTCCTAGTCCTCTCGAATAGGATTTCGAGGAGGGGATCGATGGCTGCATTCAGCTGGCGGGCAATGGTAAAGGCAAAGGCGTCGTGTAATGGTTACATAACAAAGACAAAATTCCTTATATAAGCCTTACTATAACAAAGCTGTAACAACTTTTCAATGCTGCTGCGCTGTCTTCGGCCATTTCAGTTCTAGTGCCACGCGTGTCCGACTTGAAAGTGTTCGCTACTTTCGCGTGACTTTGGTAATGTCCCGCTGGATGTGCACTGTGTGTTAGTGTGTGTGCTTTTTTCTTCTGCATCACGCGACGTAAACCGACTGTAGAGGGCGCGTTGTTTGCATTGCGCGATACGACAAGGTGAAAGAGACGACGGGCTGTCCGGGCGGTGCGCTGCAATACAGAGGAGCCCAATGCTAGTCGAACGCTGACTTGTTGTCTTCTGGAGCTTTAATTAAGAATGAAGATACAAAATAAAGCAATATCGAAGGTTGTTTCTTATACACCGGATGTGCGTTCTGCGTTGATGTCTTCTTACGTTATGCCACGCAAACATGAACATGTGCGTGACACTCTTCCTCTGCGTTTAAGAAGTTTCCATATAACCCGTCGCGGTGGTCAAGTGTTACGGTGCTAGACAGCTGACTCACAGGTCGCGAGATCGAATCCCTGCAGCGGTGGCCACATTTTCGATGAAGGTGAGAATACTTGAGGTCTATGTACTTATATTTCGGCGCACGTTAAGAAAACCCTAGGTTAAGGAAATTTCCGGAGCCCTTCACTACGGCGTCGCTCATAATAATATAATGGTTTTTGGATGTTAAATACCGACAAATGTTGTGAAAGTTCTATTCGGTCAAGACTACTTCATACCGCGACGTTCCAGTTGAAACTTAAAAAGTCTGTGGTCGCTAAAGCCGGTAAATCAATGATACCGTCACTGCTGACCAGCAGGTCGCTGGTTTGATTACGGCTGCGGTGGTCGAATTTCTGTGGAAGAGAATTGACAGAGGCCCGTGTATTGTTCGATTAGAGTGCACGTCAAACAGGTGCTATAGCCGGGCTAAATTAACGGCACCCTCTACTAAGGCGAGCTTCAAAACCACAGAGCATATCTGGCGTGTATAACCGTATACGTATTACTATAGTACGTCATAACCAAGGAAACCAAGTGATAAGAGTTTCCCACACTCGCCACCTTAGCTATAGGTCGCGCTAGTTGACACTCCCATGGATTGAAGTCACATACTGAATACCGAACAAAGTGAACGATGGACCACCCATCGTCGTCGTTAAATTGGTGAAGCGTCGGAAGAGTAACGCATTGTTTGTGAACTAAGACTCCACCGACGAAAAGGGTGCTTTTTCGTCCCCTTTGATATTTTCAATTTTGTTAATAATAATTATACAACCGCTAAAAACGTCTCATAATGTCCTCTATTTTTTGCCTGGCTATACTGCATGTTGTTTTCATTGGTTCTGTCTAACAAGGAAACGAGACCCACGAACCATTCCCCTTCTTTCGTATAATCAGCCCTGTCATCATTCAGACACTAGGAAGCTGAAGCTTCACAAAGACCGATAGTCCAGATGCCTGCATACCGTTAGTGACCAGTGGCTAAGCTTGATGGGGTAGCAGCCTCCGCACAACTGCAGAGGTGAAGCGAAGCGCAAAAACAATAAGAATGTGACACCAGCGTTCAGTCATCTTCGCGGATACTTCGTTGACAGAGTGTAAAAAAACTTTCGCAATGTGTGCCCAGCTGCGGACCTCCGCACAACTACGAAAACACGCCTCTCTGTACAACACAGAATGGAGCATCAGGGCTTCACTTTGTTGTCTCTGGACAAATACGTAACGCTTTTCACAAGACGCCTGCAGACCGACGTCCTCGAAACTGCCTCAGCATGCCAAGAAGAAGCAAGATCTCTTGCAGGAAAATGGCATTTGGTATCTACGCATCTCCTCGTGAGACGTTTCGTGAACGCCCCTAGTGCACACATTTACGGTCACGCCTCGGCAAACTCGCGCATACCTTTCAGTGTGGTTCGCATGGCAAATACGCGGCTCTTGTACAAATGCTCACATTGTTCGATGCTGTGAACGGTCGCTGCCGTTCGTTTTTGAGCCGCTTCAATATCGGGTCACGCGAGTATGACGACATATGCCCTTGCACGTGCTGCAGAACTCCGGAAGGGAATGCGTTGTAGGCTTAAGCCCGGCTTCACTGTCAACGCGACCCGAAAAATTCCGACTGGAAAAGGAGGTCGCGACAAGCTGACAAGTTCGGAAAGGTTTGGAGAGCGTGGCACGTTTGTAACGTGTGAAACGAAACTCGAAATTAAGGTAAAACAATAAGAAAACAGGGCAGTCCAACCGAGACTGGCACAGGGATCCATATTAAGCCCGTATGGATTTATTGACAGCAATGAACTGGTATCAAACAATCGACAATTGAGAAGTGACAATAATGACGACAAGGACAACAGAGTTGACAGTAACGGTATCCACAACGGCTGATTCTTGCCAACTGACAGGACCTTGTCCGGGGGCTCTGAAACTCGCCAACGGCGAGATCGGAAGATTCGATATCGACACCACCAGCACCCGAAGAAACATTTACTTTTCTCTCTTCTTTTGCTCTCTTTATTTTTCGTAGAACTGCGAGTTCATCAGCATTAAATACGCAGCTACTCGCGGCGACACCTCGAAAGCATTACAGACGTCGTCGCGTCCCGAGTTCCAGGGTTGCTAAAAACCCTGACACAAACAGGTAAATGACATAGCTGCGCACGTTAGGGAACTGGTCGCCATGTAAAGTTGCCGACTGCGCATTGCCGCACTTAAGTCAGTGTGCAAACGACGTTGGTGAGAGGAGAGAAAAAGAGAGGCGAATATTTGGTGGGGAAACTATTTTTTCGCTTTTTTTTTACGTTATGGAAAAGGGTGAGGCCAAGGTATAGAGCCAACGTCCTGGCAAGTGTAAGTTGACGATGGCGAGTACCACCCAGGTAAGGTTTGCCACCCCCCCCCCCTTCTCGTTTTGAGAACGAACCAACTAAATCCTTAACGCTATACCTATTCGCCACTATATTCATATGCTGTACTTTTTCCTCGAAAGTTCATTACCAAACTTAAACTCCATTGCTCTCATTTACTCGAAGATCCATTCCTCTTTACTATACTTTTTCATTTTCCTTTGCTTCTTTACTAAACTTCTCAAAAGTCATTTTACTCTTTTTTACTCGAAACTCTTTCGCTCCTTTACGCAACTCCTCTACTCCTCGAGAGTTCATTCCCATGAATCGGGGCAGCCGGTCCTTAGTGAGATAAGTACTCTGCTCAAGCGCCAGCATCGGGTCTACCGAGCTTGTGGAGTTATCAGATAACCTTATGAGTATGTTATCGCTAAAAAAAAAAAAAGAATGGAGCGAGTTAAACGCACCCTTACCACCCTCCACATTTCCTTCCTTCTCTTGTTACTGATACTGCTACCGGCGACTGCGCAGGGCGCTTCTGTGTGCATACACGGAAGTCCCGGACACGTCGAAGGCGGGGCCCGGCGTTGCCGGCCACGGAGCGACTTCTCACGTCCGTCACGCGAGGCGACAAGGCTCCGCCGCCTCGGCTGTCACGAACGCCGCCGTCCCGACAATGGAAATCTCGTCGCGGGGCAGCGAAGCGTGTCGCCGGGACAAGCCGACGCGAAAGCGAAAGGATGAGCTGTGGCGTGTCGCGCGCTGGGCCAATGTGGCAAAGCGAAAACTGAAGTGGTTTCGGCGGATGTAAAGAGTCGTGCGGTGTTCTGCGTTGGAAGCCTCCGATATTGTTTCTGTTTCTCTGTACAGGCCGAAGTTAACGCTTTCTGTCTCTAGGGTATCTTTTCTTTTGTTCCTTGCCTTTGTTCGAGAGCGCAATAAGCATATTTTTTGTTTCCAAGGCTGCAGTTACGAATAATTCTCGACAGTGACAGGCTTGTAGAGGTTTGCCTTCAGACGCCATGAGCGGGTAGGAGGTAAATTGCGAGGAGCACGATTTGGGGGTTCGTGGGAAAATCGGTCCGTGGGGCAATCACCAATAGCGGTGCAATCAACGACGGTGAAAGAATGAGGGAGATAGCGGAAAGGACACGCAGGAAGATTGACGAGATTTCGCAATGTTTTCCACTCTAACCTCAGTATGCGGAAATGCTTCTTTAACTTGAACAAAAGCTTGAACTTGACTTGCCACCGCCTTCAATGCAGAACAAACGCGTTTCGAAAGCACTGTTTTGATAGATAGATAGATAGATAGATAGATAGATAGATAGATAGATAGATAGATAGATAGATAGATAGATAGATAGATAGATAGATAGATAGATAGATAGATAGATAGATAGATAGATAGATAGATAGATAGATAGATAGATAGATAGATACGCTTCGTAACGCCTGGGCTATAACGAAGCTGTGCAGCATTACACCGATTCCCACAATGCGTGGGATGCTTTCATAACTACCACAAGGCATTGAGACAACCAGGAAAACTTTCTCAATCTTGACCTTATTGTATTATGATTTAAGCATAGAAGGGGAAAGTCGCACTGCAACACTCAACGTTGCCGCAACTGCGCGAATAATTTCTTTCATGTGGTCAAGTTCGCAGGGTGAATATTCGCCACGAATATAATAATTTCGACCACGTGTTCCGGCTGAGCTCTGCGCACATGGGTACAGACTTTTCTGACCAGTTCTTCTGGGACCCTTCGAAGCACAGAGATCATCACTCAGGTCAAGGCTGTCCAGAGGGCCCGGGCCGTCACCGAAGGACTCTGTTACCGGTCCCGACCAGGGTAGTCGCTGCCGGATTGATTGCTGGGGCTTTCGGCACCGCTATCTTTTTTTCTCGGGACCAAAATAAAGTTCGTACTTCCCTCACTCGAAGGTTTTATAGCACGCAAAAAAAAGAGTGTTCCACAGTCGCCGTAATGGCAACAGATGGCGCTGACTCAGCGCTCCCACACTTAAATCCAAAAGCAAGGTGCCTGCGACGCTTTGTACCGTGAACTTGTTCACTGGCGTAATTTCTTCCGATACGGCCTCATGAAAGGTGAGGCCCACGGGACGGCTTTTTGATCTCCCATAATAGAGTACCAAGTACTCTAAATCATTACCAACTTTTTTCTAAACACACATATCTACCTTATGAAGTGGATGACCGCCACCGTATAGGTCAGTGGTACAACATGGGACGCATTATCGAAGGTTCGCAGGTTCGGATCCTGTCGATGGCAAGTTGTCTTTTCGCCCGCTTTGATTTCTTCACATTTGCACTGCGGTTACTTCTAATAACAACCCCTCTACTTTCCCTGGCATTATTGTCTGCTAGTTCTCAATAATGAAGTTCTAATGAAAAAAATTAGCCCTTAAATTTACAGTACTTTCTGCTTGTGGTAGCAGAAGTGGCTGTAGTCTTCCTACCTTTTTTTCTTGCCGGGGGGGGGGGGGGGGAGACACTGTGCGTAATG